AAAGTGACGTGACATGTGGCCAAGTATGGTGACCCGTACTTGGAATTAGTGCTCTGCATTTATCCCATCCAAAGTGCACACACCCGGAGCAGTGGGCAGCCATTTCTGCTGCAGCGCCCAGGGAGAAGTTGGGGGTTCGGTGCCTTGCTCAAGGGCACCTCAGTCGTGGTATTGAAGGTGGGAGAGAGCGCTGTACATTCCCTCCCCCCCCCTACAATCCCTGCCGGTACGAGACTCGAACCTGCAACCTTTGGGTTACGAGTCTGACTCTCTAACCATTAGGCCACGACTTCCCCCAATACAATATTATCAGAAATGTATCATATTCTGTGTTAGGGTTTGAACTACTTCAGATTTTTAAAATTTCTATGATGAAAGTCGAGTCAACTAGTCAATTAGACGCTGATGACGTCATTAATGAACAAATAAGCCTGAACCTTGAGCTGAGTCTCGAATACCTTGTGCACAGCTATGGCATATGACACAGCGCTGCCCACATGGCTATTGCTCCTATAACAGCTCATTTTTATCAGTTCTTTTGTCTTTGGGTCGTTATATTTCTCACAGATTTCTGCTCGTTCTGAATCCGATACAGATAAAGTAGCACAGTAAAGATTGCATTTATATGAATGCAATAGCGAGAGAGCGATTGCGTGTGTGAATTAATTCTACCTGGCAGCGTCTCTCTACTAATAGTGAAGCTGTGGGTTTTAGTTACTAAGAAATATATGATAGAACTTTTCAGTTTCTAAGCTATTTTACTGAGAAATCAGAACAGTGTTGACAATACATTTCCGCGCTACTGAATAGCACATTGATTCTGAGTGATCTTGATCTGCGCGTGATCATGGGTGTAGCTTGTGGGGGGGCCAGGGGTGCCTGGCTCCCCCATAGCGATTTAAGAATTTTACTAAATATTTATTTATAAAGTTTTTTCTATGAAGTAAAAATGCATATAATGCAGTTAATAATACATGTAAAAGTGAATACGTAAAAGTTAATACATTTTAAATTGTTATTGTAAGTAAATTAATAAATCAAAACAAACTTAACGTCTCCCTCAATCTCATTTGCGTAAGAATTGTCACGTGACGAATCTGCATTCTGGTGCATAATATACTTAATGGTAATGCTTGCCTGTTGTGTGGAATAAAATGATGTTTTGCGTTTTTAACAACATACACAACTGCAGAGAAATCTGGAGACAACGGAAAACTCCGATGAAGATATTAATGCCGTGCTTAATGATTCCGGACCCGGACAATCAGATAAAGGCGATCCACAGGACGCAGCCGGTTTAGCTGCACACTACTTTTATGCCGATCATTTACATCCAAATGTTATTTAATTTTCACAGAACACAACCTTTAAATAGATTTTAGAATATAAACTGTTTATCGTCTATTCAATAAGACTAAATAAAAAGTGTGCGCCTCATTGTGCATTAACTTGAATCAAGCCCAACAAATGTCTGTTTTAAAAACAGTGGATGAGTAATTCACTCCTTGATTTGCTTAATAAAAGCCTCCTTTGAGATCGTTTTGACAGACATGTTTATTGTGCATTTTAAACGTGTTTATTGCTAAGTTTAGTGTGGCAAAATAGAAGCGCAGCTGTAATTCGTGGGCAATGTATGTGGTTACCATGACAACCTCATGCACTTGCCACTGCTCTATGTGAATATGTAGATTTACTATAGCAAAACTAAAATGTGTTTAAAAGTACGTCTGACCAAATCCACCGGTTCGGTTTGGCCCCCCCAAACTCAAATGTCAAGCTACGCCTATGCGCGTGATGTACGAGCTACTGTCTGTAGCCTATGTGTATGTGTTACAATGCAGCAGCGCATTAGATTACAACGGCGATACCTGTACAAGAAGCAGTTTAAAACGTGCATTCTCCTGTTCAATTTGAGCATCCAGATTGTAAAATCACACATGTCTTGTGGAGCACTTTCGGAGTATACATTTATTTGTCATTTTAACTGTTTGGAACGTGTAAATGTGGATTCTAAGATTTCTTATAGTGTTGTGTCCTCTATAGACCTATCAGATGTTTGCATATCTCTGTAGGATCTATCAGATGTTTATACACAGCAGATGCTTTCCAAATGAAGCGATCTTTAACAGATATCTTGCAGAAGTACCTGTGCGTAGTCGACTTGTCTGTGCAACCCTAAAATAACTTTAAGAGTTCAGAGTTTGGCTCTGTACATTTTCTGGCACCAATAAACAATTATTTCACCTTAAATTAACAAAACTAAATACAGTAAATTATTTCATAGTTGCTGATAAAATGTGATATATTGTGATATATAATTGCCAGTAAAACTGTTTGTCGAATGCCGAACTTTGTTTTGGAGACCTATAATCAAATTAGCAAAAACAAATGACACATTGGTAGCTCTAAATGAAAAATTTCCCTCTACCCTAAAGAAATTTAAACCCAGATAGACATTAAAACAAGCCTAATGTTTTGACAATTAAAACTCTTGGGAAACATTTGAATGCATTCGTCAGTATTTCAGGCGGTCATAGAACAAATCACAGAAACTTTCACAAGGATGTGTTGTTTCTTCAGGCTTTGGTGGTTTTTATATAGGAGAAAAGTTTTCAATGGCCATCTAAAGCAGTTCTTTGAGGCAGTTTGATTTACTGGCAGCCAACTTACTTTAAGCCAACATCTTAAGCCTACTGTATAGTTTTTATTATGGCAGAAATGAAATGACCAATTTCTCAGTCCAACTCAACAATGGCACAGGAGAAGTTACTGTCCATCTATATTCCTGTAGCTCGACTGCCAGAACATGGTGATGGTAATCTTAAAGGGCATTTGATTCTATTTGGTTTTAATTCAAGATTTAAAAAAATAAAAATAAAAAAAGGAGAAATGTTAAGATGGGGAAAATGAGACATTCCTGAGAAATATTTCTTTTTCAAATCAACATTTTGTTATTTCTTCAACTTTAGGAACTTTTATGTTCCAGAATCTGATCAATTTATTCTCTCTCTCTCTCTCTCTCTATATATATATATAAATATATTGTGAAAACGATTTATATTTTAAAATATATGACTGTCCCACATCTGTGCCATAATTTCTACTTCTCCCTACAACAATACTGTAACTCTTCAAGTTTTGGAGAGAAATATGATGCATCTGATATGTGAAGGTATCAATATCACTTGAGAGCAGAAAAAATTAATTGTGCATAATTTTCAATCAGGCAGTAAATTTGTCAAATTATGAGTTAAAATATTAATTATGTAGGATACATACAATTCTGCCTATGAAATTATCCATAGGAAGACAAATGAGTTAGCTTTTTTTATTGCTAAAATGTAATAATGCAATTTCCACCACAGATGCTACTGCAATTTAAAACTTAAATGATTTCGGCACCACCATCACCAATTGGAATTATTGTTAGGAAATATATACTGAACAGGGGTTAGATGAATCCAGACAACACTTCATTGGAGCAGAGGGCAGGATCGGGAGAGAACAGGTGAGTAGAATGATGCAAAATGAACGAGTAGTGGCAAGATGATGAAGATAGCAGTCCTGATATGTTTACAGGAGGCGAAGGGGATGGAGATGCACACACCGCAGCGACTGGACCAGTGGGTCAGTATAGCAGGTAAATATCTTCGGGAACAGACGAGGAGAACCAGTAATCTTCACCGGAATACATGGAGACCAGGTAAGTGAGCCTTTCCTTGTTTAAGGCCAGACTGAGGCTGAGGTGTGTGCTTAAGTAGTGCGCTGATAAGGAAGAAATCGCTGACAGGTGCAGGTGGTTAGTACTCCGGTCATAGGGAACGCTGGGTGGTGGAAGTGAGAGAGCCTGGCAGATCTGTGACATTACCCCCGTTCCATGGTCCGCTCCAGCAGATCCAGTAGATGGGGTAGTCGATTATTTATGGTACAGGAGGCTCATTACCAGGGTCAGGCTCTGTGGAAGGAACAGACACAGGTGTGTAGTGATGTTTTAATAGGGAGACGTGGAACACTGGGTGAATTCTGTACTGTGAACAGAGCTTGAGTTCGTATGTGACTGGGTTAACCTGTCTTACGACCTGTAATGGACCGATGTATTTGGAACTTAGTTTACAGCAAGGCAGGTGCAGACGAGTTGTCCAGGTTGGTATGCTGGGGTGTTCCTTCTCTGAGTATCTACAAAGATCTTTTGTCTGCGCACTGCCTGCTGAAGATGGTGATGAGCCTCGTCCCATACCCTCTCGCTCTCCCGGAACCAGTGATTGATGGATGGTACCTCCGAGGGATTGCCTGACCAGGGGAATAATTGTGGCTGAAAGCCCAGCATGCACTGGAACGGGGTGAGACCCGTTGATGGTTGTCGCAGGGAATTTTGGGCATACACGGCCCAGGCAAAGAATCGGTTCCAGGAGTTCTGGCGGCTCTGGCAGAAGGTCCTAAGGAAGCAACTGATCTCCTGCACCTTCCTCTCCATCTGCTCATTGGATTCTGGATGGTACCCGGATGTTAGGCTGACAGTCACACCTAGGAGTGAGAAGAAAGCTTTCCAAGCATGTGAAATAAGCTGTGGACCACGGTCAGAAACAGTGTTCTCAGGAATTCCAAAATTGCAAAAAAAAAAAAAAAACTGGTTAAACAGGGCCTCTGCAGTCTCCATGGCTGTGGGGAGTTCCTTCAGAGGAATCAGTTTGCCTGCTTTGGAGAATCTGTCAATGATAACCAGGATGCAGTTATTTCCATCAGAAGCAGGTAAGTCGGTGATTAAATCCACTCCTAGGTGTGACCATGGGCATCGAGGGTTGGGCAGAGGAACCCCAGAGGTGATTTCTGGGAATGTAAGTGCGATCTGGAGGGCACCCCGGCGGAGCAGGTTCACTTTTGGAGGTCTCAGAGATTTGTTCATCGATACTCCACTGGATGGGGTTGACAAAAAGAGTGGACGGAAGCACTGGTTCGGGTTCTTCGGTGATGTCAGAGGGGGCATGAAGTCAGGATAATGCATCAGCTCGTGTGTTTCAGGAGCCAGGTTGATAGGAGATGCTGCATTGGAAACTGGTAAAGAACAACGCCCATCTGGCTTGTCTGGGGTTTTGTCTCTTTGCTTCTCTTAAATACTGTAGATCAGTGAGGGCAATAAAATGTCAAGCTCCCTCTAACCAGTGCCTCAACTCTTCCAGGGAAAGCTTAATGGCCAAAAGCTCACAATTCCCAATGTCATAATTTTGCTCCGCCGGGGATAATTTATTGGAAAAGAAAGCACATGGAATGAGCTTTGTTGACTTCTCCTGCTGCTGTGACAAGACTGCACCCACTCCAGTAGTAGAAGCATCTACTTCAACCACGAATGGCTTATTGGGGACAGGGTGATTTAGGAGTGGTGCAGTAGTGAAGGCAGTTTTCAGGGCTTGCATGGCTTCGTCAGCTTTGGGGGTCCAGGACAGAGACTTGGGCCTGCCTTTTAATAGTGAAGTGAGGGGTGATGTCAGGATACTGTAGTTTTGGATGAAGCTGCGGTAAAAGTACACAAATCCAAGGAATCTCTGGAGTTCTTTCACCGTGGTAGGAGTGGGCCAGGAGGTAGCAGCGATACTTTCTCCTCATCCATTTTGACCCCGTTCTTGCTTACTATGTAACCGAGGAAGTGGATGGTACTCTGATGAATACTGAATTTCTCAGCTTTTTTTAAAGTTATATTTTTGACCTTTTTATGCCTTTGGAGACATTGGAGACAGTGGAGACATGACAAGAAAGCATAGGGCAGAGAGAGGGGAGTTGGATTGGCAAAGGGAATCAAACTCGGGTCGCCAGAGGCGCAGTTGGACTATATGTTGGTGCACTGACCACAAGGCCACCAGCGCCAACGCATTTCTCAGCTTTGAGGAACAGATTGTACTCGCAGAGCCTCTGGAGGACCTCTGAAACATGCCGGAAATGTTTGGCCAGGCTCCTGGAGTAGAAAAGCATGTCATCTATGTACACAATTACAAATCAGTTCAGGAAGTTCCGGAGCATCTCATTCATGAAGTCATGGAATACGGAGGTGGTGCTGACCAAGCCATACGGCATAACGAGGTACTCATAGTGCCCAGATGGAGTAATGAAGGCAGTCTTCCACTCGCCCCCCTCATATAACCGGATGAGGTTGTAAGCAATCTTCTTCCACCGCGGCCGCGCACATGCATAAATGAGTTGGGAAAGCCATTTGCGAAAGCAAATGAATTGCAATGCTCGGGTAAACCGCTATGCCGGAAATGTTTGGCCAGGCTCCTGGAGTAGAAAAGCATGTCATCTATGTACACAATTACAAATCAGTTCAGGAAGTTCCGGAGCATCTCATTCATGAAGTCATGGAATACGGAGGTGGTGCTGACCAAGCCATACGGCATAACGAGGTACTCATAGTGCCCAGATGGAGTAATGAAGGCAGTCTTCCACTCGCCCCCCTCATATAACCGGATGAGGTTGTAAGCAATCTTCTTCCACCGCGGCCGCGCACATGCATAAATGAGTTGGGAAAGCCATTTGCGAAAGCGAATGAATTGCAATGATCGGGTAAACCGCTATAAAGTTGATATCGCTTCGCTATAGAGTTAGAACCAAAATGCGGTTTACAGGTTTCATAGAAAGAGAATGATGTGTGCCAAATGAGTCGCTGTAGAAACCGAATATTTTAATGGTTGCGGACGAAATAGCTCAAATCGAGAGCCAACGTAAACGCAATGACGTGAAATAAAACGTCATCATGTATTAAAAAAATAGTGTCTTGATTAAGTGCTGGAAATAGCGGATGATGGGCACAGAACGGTAACAAAACTCAGAGACATTTACAGTCACACACAGGTGTATTGTGCAAACTGTACTTTAGAGGGATATTTAGATAGCTATAGAAGAATTCACGTTCACGTTTTAAAAAAATATTTAACTTACTGATCTTAGTTCAAATGCTTCAGTTTGTTTTCTATTCTATTCTATTTTATTCTATCAGTTTAAGTGCTTCAGTTTGTTTTGATATTATATTATGTTAGGCCTATATTATAAACCTAATAAATAATTGACCTTGTT